AATTATTTGTTGTTGTTGTTGTTGATCGAGTTGGTGTTGATGAAAGTGATGAATAGTTGGATAATTGTTGTCGACGAGCTGTTGGTGGTGTAGAGAATCCGACTAAATTTTGTCGACGTGCGGTTGGTGGAGTGGAAAAACCCAATGATTGATGATGATGATTGGAATTTGATACACGTGGAATTCGCTCATTCGAATTATTCGTTGTTTTCCTATAATAAAAAGGAGTCCACAATGAAAAACATCGAAATTCGAATTACCAATTTGAGATAAGGGACGATGGTTCTTTTGTCGATCCGGGTGTTTTTTGTTTTGGTTTAGCAAAATTGACCTAAAACAATTGGAAGAAATAGAAGAGTAATTGATAGAAATGGTTTATGCGAACCACTAATCGTCGACCATCGACAATTTCTCTATCCATTCGTTTTTTGGCTTCCAAAGCATCTTTCTTCGCAAGAAATGTTACAAAACCAAAACCCTAGAAAACGAATCGTATCTTTCAATTGTTCATTTTGTTATGTACGATTTACTTTCGAACCACGTTCATTGTAAACAACTTCAACATCGAATGTTGTTCCGTATTTCTGAAAGTGAAAAGGAAATGGATTCAATATTTTTTCGAAAACAAAGACAAATGGTTTATTTACTCCAAAAACTTCAGCTAGTTTTTCTTTTGACCATGTAAATGGAATATTTGACACATGTAAACGTAAAGTTCCATCATCATCATCTTCATCAAACATTGCTAACGAAGATGATGGAGTACTCTTAAGAAGAAACACTTGAAATCAGACAAAGAAATAAAAGAATATAAAGACGTACAGTTCGAGCAGGTGTTGGTCGTTGAATTGGTGTCAAACCTCGTTTGTCATCTTTGTTTACATGAGGTCGAATTCGACTTGGATGATTTTCCGACCAATTTTCTGTCGAATTCGAACAATGACAACATTTCTAACAGAAGAAAAACATTGAATAAATCGTGAAAAAAAACAAAGAAAAACGAATTTACACATGGTTGATGTTGTTGAGATGACGTTGATGACCATAATGGTGGTGTATCAATATCAATATGAGCAAATGAAGATGTTAAGGACCAACCAACAGGCGGCAATGGTAACGATGGTAGAATTGGTGAATCGGAATCTGTTGAACGAGTTGGTGTTGGAGAAAATAATCTTTGCACTGGCGATCGAGAGCACGTGGATTGAGACGATGACCACAAATCACCTTCCTAACACAATATTCAACACATTCAATGAAATTATTTCTCGAAAAGATATATGAATTACTTACAGCAAAGCTCGAACAGTAGCGCGAAATATCAATTAGAGTTGTTGATGAAGGATTTTCTTCCATAAAAATTCGTTTTGCCCAAAGAAAAATTGACTAGAAATGGGCTTTTTCTTTCGTCGTTTTGTCCTTATTACAAGTTCGACGAGAAGATGGAAAATGATTAAACATATTTCTGTCTAGTCCGACGACGAAGACGATGACCAAGAAACGAAAAAAACAAATATCCAGGGTATTATTTCCATTCTTCGTATATACAGTTGATCTAACCGTTTACTTAGTCATTCGCTCGAAATAAATCATTCTACCATTGAAAGACGTTTTCTTCTTTATCACCTTTTCACAAATCAAGAGAGATACACTGTCTATCAATGACATCAGAAGTTCATTTGTTAGTGTTGAAAATGATTTTCACTGAAGTTTGAATATTACAATGGTTTCCTTGCATTGCAAATGTTTCTCACGTTTTATCTTGCACTGATTTAATTCCATTTCACTATAAAATATTCTCAGATAAAAATAATTCAATCAATCTTTCATCTTGTTCATATGATAAACTATAATGAATCGTTTGGGCAGGAAATCGACATGTTCGTTTTCAGCAATATTCTTACAGTGCCTTTTATATCACATTCGTGAAGATTTTGAATCCTTTTATCGTGATAATAATGATACAATGACAAAGATATGTGCAATACTCAATGTTTACAGGTACATCGATGCTCTTTGAACATAAAAACAAGAATTTAATGGAAGGGAGAATGTGAATGACTGTAGAAAGGACACATTTATTCTGATATTCAGTAATTCTTTTGAGGAGTCTCTCTGAATTTGAAACTGAATTGTTCTCAATCGTATAAGTGAAATCATAACGAATCTAAATTTTTTTACATCATCTTCGAGAATATGATTTCGTCCAATATGCAGTAGACTGAGTATATATATTTTCTATACAGCCATTTGTGCAATAGCATTAAATGAAGGATTACAATTTATTTATGATTATGTAATAGGACCTCGAGCCGCAAGGACAAAGGGAAGAAAATGAATGACTTATGTGGTCTAATAGAATGAAAAAATTTCTCAATGGAAAGGCACAAAAAGCAGAGGATGAATATTAATGCTCAAAAATGATTAAATGTAAAAAAAAAACTTATTGGTCATATTTAGTGGCAGAGGGCTCGATCACTGTGTGTACGTTTACAACCGGATCGGCAACGACGAATTTTTTCCCAATGTCCGTCACCAAGACATTGAACAACCCACGCTCCACCCTGAAACCAACATTGATAATCTCCATATGAAACACATCGTCCGGTTGATGTCCAACAATCACAAGAACGACGAAGTCGTGCGTGACTCTCATTTGATGTTGATCCTGCAATAACAAGACTAATTTTTATGCATCGATGGGAAATAAATATATCTCACTGACCTTTATTGATGACAAGATCGTCAAGAGTGGTTCCATTTGAATACTGAGTTTCTGTTTTCAAAAGTTCATCTTCTGTTGTAACACTTTCAGACATTTCAGAAGCATAAACAGAAACAGCAATAACAAGAAGTGATACAAAAAGATGTAGTGTATTCATTGTTTTGTTTTATTACGATTCTAAAATAGGAAAAGAACGCATTCATGAACATTGAAGAAACTAAAACTACATAGGATGTTCAAAAAGTTCTCAGAACTCTTCCTTTTTATTGAACGAAAGCAAGTTCATATTCCACTAAATGTTCGAAGTAGTTACCCTGGTTTTCTTGTGCATATCTGTTGCATTCAAACTCACTTTTAGTTGCGTGAAAATAGACAAATCAAATCGGAGTTTTAATCATCCAAAATCCCAAAAAAGTTGTAAAAGTCATATTAAAGAGAAAATACACAAGCAGGAGAACGTCCATGTCGGTCACATAATAGATCCATCCTTACACTATTCATATTTGGAAATAAAACTATTTCTTTCTATCTAACGTAGAAAATAATGGTTAGCTCAAAAACCTTTTTGGTCATCCTATGTACATTCAAACTGAATTCTTCGAGTTGAAGATGCTTGATCAAATGATCATCAAGAATCGTAATAGCTATTCTGATATATACCGGACAATGTGTGTCTTACCCTTGTTAAAATAATGTATTTATGGAATAGAAGATTGTAATATCGATGATATAGTTTTGTTACACATTTCTTCAGGCTTTATATAGTATGATATGGTAAAACGAACTACTTCCCATGTTTCTTATCACAGTGTTGGTGGGAAACTTCTTGAAACAAGATAATCATTTCTTTGTTTCTAATTATAACAAAGCTTGTATTGAATATCCGTGTATGGCACAAGTAGTGTCCTATGGGAACGATTTTTTCCCATTTCTATGGGAAAGGATAAGGCAATTCCCATTTAGATTTAGAGAATGGGAAGAAAGCTATGAATTGCCGTTCCTTAACTTTTGATAATCTCGCTTCAAATATTTTTACAAGATTTGATAACAGGATTGCTAATTTTTCTTAATTTTTCTTTTTAATGCAACGTTAACAGAGAAAATAACGGATATGCATAAGCAAAAGTAGGTCGTTAATTGACTTATAACTCTATGGCTTGTCTAGGTAACGGTCAACTAGCATCATTTAGGTTTTTCATTAGGTTTTTGGATATCCTGTGTTGATATATCTCGTTATTTTTTAAAAATTATAAGTAGTGCTGACATGGATGTAGGTAGTTGTAAGACGTATCAGGCCGAGTTTTTCTACAATTTTGACGATATTTGGATGTTTTGGTGTATTCGAGGATCGAGTACACTACTAGAATCGGTGAATGTGTTTCTCCGGTTGCTTACATGATAACTTTCGATAGAGCAATCGGATTAAGCTGGAACTGTCTCATATCCTTATATATAAAGTTGCATGCTTGTGTACTAGTTCATTATGCATCCACGTCCTGTACTAGTTATCGCTCCCTAACTTTCCATGTTGGTTCTCTATGCCTAGGAAAATGCCAATATGTGGTGAAAATGATCCATTAAGGGATCTGAGTATATTTCATCGAGATTATCTGTCTGTTATTTACAAATCTCTGTTGTAACTATCGAGATCAAACTTTGCAAGATAGGTCCAGATTTAGTGAAAGATTAAAGAAAAGAGAGAGGATATGAGGCTGCCAATAGACTTCAATGAACTTCATCCAAATCACCATTGTAATCGTTGGCGCCTAGGAGACCACCCTAGGTGTGCTGGATGCTGTGAAGAGTATAAATTAGTGTCCTGCGGGAACGACTTCTAATGGTCCCCTTTCCCAATTCCAATTCCCTGAATTTAGTTTTTGCTTCCCATTCCCATGTTCCCATTCCCATTTTACCCAAAGCTGTTAACGACTGACTTTGAAAAGACTATATTTATGATGACTGAATAACAATTCAGTTAATATTCAATGAATATTCTTATGTTTTCTGACATAAACTTGATATTTTTCTATCAGTTCTGTCAAAAAAAAATTTAATATGAAATACTACGAGATATGATAGGAATATCTATATATACCAAAATAAGATGATCAAAATTTAGGGAACAACAATTTTTAGCATCGTTCTCATTCCCACGTTCCCATTCCCTAAGTCTAAATGGGAATTCCCGTTTCCATTCCCTTGGGAATGGGAATAGGCAAAATTAGGGAAAAAAGTTGTTCCCGCAGGACACTAGTATAAATCCATTCAAAATCAGTTTCTATTGCAATTAAATCTGGCTTTTAATTCAATATGGTCAAAGTATCGAGAGCACGTTATTGAGAACAGTTTTGAAGCTTCTTACGGCTATGGTATACTAAAATATGAGCGCATTACTAGAGTTGGTCAGTGTCTTCCCTCCGTTTACACGACAACTCTAGAAAGGACAATGTGATTGAGATGGAGTTTTTGATAATATATGACTACGGCAAAATCTCACTATGGTTCGAATATGAGACTGATCAGACTAGCGACTGATCATGGGATGGCTTATTAAATAAAAAATGAGTTGATCTTTCTTTATGACCTGTTATGTCTTCTATGTGATACACTGTTTGCAGTATACCAGGGTGACCAGATCTTCCGCTTTTTGCGGAAAATTTCCGCAGTTTTTCCACACTTCCGCTTTTCGCTGAAAATGTGAACATCGTTGTGGAAAGACTAGGACCAGTGGACCAAATAAAATTCGAAATTTCGATGTTTGACTCAGAAGGTTTCTTTCTCAACGCCGATTGGCTAAATAGAGTAGCCACTCTTCGTACTAGTTGTCCAGATCGGATCAGCTATGGGCGATGTTATTCGCCGTTCATCCAACACCAACTCCAAACATGAAGAAATTAGTTTGTTTTATTTATTCGATTCCTGCGAGCAACGCCTATGTGGAGAGCGTCTTCTCCGAGATGGAACATTTGTTGAATGACTTTCGTAATCGAATGTGTGTAGATTCCATCGCTGCTGAATTGAGCATTCGAAGAAATGCTCGCATTCCATGCACTAACATATACAATTATTTATTATCCCGAAAAGAATTGCTAACAGCAATCAGTGCCAATCGCAAATACAAAGTGAAAGATTAAATTAGCCAGTGAAATATCTCTTTGTATTGCATCTTCTATGTTTTGAAATTGAAATTTAGTTGGAATAAAGAATGTGAACGATGCAAAGGCTTTGAAATCCTTATCAGTCGTAAGAATTAGCAACAAGATTTTGTTTTCCGGATTTCTTCCGGTTTTCTCACCGACCGTTTCCGCTTTTTTCCGCTTTCCTCGATAGATTTTCCGCTTTTCATGTCTACACATCTGGCCACCCTGCAGTATACATAACTCTGATAAAATTCGAAGTTTCCGCAATTATATATTTTTTGTTTCAGAAACTGTCGTGTATTATAACCATTTGAAATGCAAAATGGTTTTTTGAGAATCCAAATGCTCTTCACAATTTCAATTTGTAATTTGTGAATATGTGCAAATTTTTTCACATCACATCTGACAGCAGCCCATGTCCAATCATCACCAAAAAGAATTCCACCTGCTTCTAAGAGATTCCAATACAAAGCTAATTCAATCAATGTTTCACCTTGTTCATGTGATGAATCAAGATAAATGATTTGAGGATGAAATCGAAATGTTCGAAGAAATCGTGCACCAGTTAACGATGTCATCGATGCAGGTAAAATAGTATCCGTTAAATTTGCATTCAGAATATTTTCTAAAAATTGATAGTAGACCGTCGGTCGACCATCTTCACTTACTGATAAATGATTCCAAACAACTTTGTTTATCCACATATTTAGATCTACAAAGAAATAATTAGTTGAAGAAGAAGAAGAAAAAGAGAATTGGTTAACCTCCAAGCCAAGTGTCAATACAAAGAAGAAATGAACCTGGATAAGATTGTTTCAAAATACTTCCCATTCGAATAGCGGAGTTTCCAGTAAATGATCCAACTTCAACAACAAACTGAACTTTCAAAGATTGATGAAGTTTTCGAATAACTGCAAAGAATAAATCTCTTTGAAGAAAAGTATGTGGATATGATAAATCCAAATGTTTTTGAAAATATTTTCTTGTGTAATTATAAATTGATTTTGTCGATGGATCTCCATAGAGAATCGAGTGTACTTGATTGAATGTCACTACTTTAGTAACTTGTGATGGATGTATCGGTTTATGAGATGGATTAACTGCATTCAAATCGATAATTTCTTCTGGCATAATCAATGATTTTAATGAATAACGATCTTCAATTTTAGGATCATTGGACACTGGCTGAAACAATAAAGATGAGCTCTTTTCAATTACTAGTGATTCTGTTTTGAAAAAATCGAAATATTATCATTGTTTTCGGATTGAATACTTTGAATATATGTGAAAAAGCTTGTCAGCGCAGCCCCTTTGGGGCTAAAACGTGGAACTCACATACTTGTATTTGGAAAACGAGATTGTGGATTAGAATAAAATACTTAACGATAAGCTCACTTTAAGATCATCACTCTCAGGGTGGTAGCATTTCTAGTAGTCACAAAACGTATAAGCAGTTGATTCAATTGAAGAATCAAATATACAATTGACTGTCCTTAGTTTAATATAGAAATATTCGGTCAGAAGTATTTAGAATTCCAGACAAGGTGAGATTTTTCTGAGCAAAGTGCACGTTGGGCCATTTTCGCATAATTTAAATAATACAGAGTAAGGTCCAAACAGCACAGCAAAAAATAACGAATCTGCATTTGAAATGCAAATATTTTTACTTGAATAGTAAATTATAGAAATTTGAATACGCTGATAACATTTTTCTATGTTTCATAACTCTAATACTCTCTACATTTCTAATACTTCTATAGGTCATACGGCTACAATAATCGTTGCAGCGCCTGCACCCTGTGTAACGCCTGTAGTCCTGTAGGGCTGAGACTGTATAGCTTCTGTCGCCCTTGTACTCCGTGACCCCGTAGCGGTTAACCCTGCCGCCCTCGCACCCTGTGGACCCGTAGCGGCTTGCGGTCCATGGGGGGAGGGGGTCCAAAGATTCCAGGGTATAAAACTTACACTCACTTATTTTTCTTCAAAAAATAGATGTGAGTTCCACAAAATAGTGAACTCATTCTTGTAGTATCATATGAAATATTCATATATCATACATGTACAACTCGAAACTTGAATTCGAGTATTAGTTCGAGTATTCAATTATTCCAGTGTTCTGAGGGTGCAGGGGAGGGTGTTGAGGGGTTATCGTGTAAGTAGCGATGAGTTGCCTGGTTTCTGAGGGAAAAGCGAAGGTAAAAATATTGGGCATAGCTATCGGGAACATTATACATGCAAAGTTGGCTTCGTGTTAAATTGAGTTTAAGAAAGTGTGGTGCCAGAAACGCTAATGCCTGATGTATAGGGGCGCTGCATTTCGCTGTGTTCTTCGTTCATATATGTATGCGTAAAGAAAAACGTTCGTTTGCTCGCTATGCGTTTAGTGCTTGTAATAGCTATCGTCGGGAAGTATCCGTCGACACGTCCTTTGACCCAGAGGAGGCTTGACATATACTTTGTTGCGGAAATAATATACCACGCGCTGCCTAGCAGTATCCTGTGCATCTGACTTATATGAGACGGCGACCCCATAGATAGCGAAAGTTGGTAGCGAAGGCCTTCTGAGCGCTCGTACCCAAAAATCGAATACTGGGACACTCGAATAGTTGAATACTCGAATACATGAATTCAAGTTTCGAGTTTGACACTACTGGTTGAGATTTTTTCTTCTTTTATATACACATCACGTGTACTATTATTTCATTTGCGTAATCGTCTTAACAATTGGTTTGCACGTTTACTGAATAGTTCAACAACTACAACCCAGGTTATTATGGCACGGGCGGTTCCGGTCGGTTAGGTTCGTTTTCCAACCATTTCCTTGCCGCCGGAAGTTCAAACGTAGGTTCCAGTCATTTCCTGGCCGTTTCCTGCAAACTTCGAGCTGCAAACGGTCAGGAACCTGCTGGAATCGGCGAAAACTGTGCCGGAATCGAGAAGAGCTGTACCGGATCCGACTCAGATTTCAACGGATCCAGTCGCCGGAATGATCGACCTGGGAACGATTCTAGAAAATTCAAATGATGCCGACGAACTTTCGAAATTGTTGGCTGAACGAGCCGGTTCTTATCTGCTGATAAAAAACTATGATGGTAAGTTGCTGATGAATGGCGTGTATTATGGATAGCATTTTTTTCTCTAGCCACAGTGAATGACTGCGATAATGCATTGCGTTTAAATCAACTGAATGTTCGTGCATATATACATAAAACGTGAGTGATTGATTCATGTTTTCACCGTCCAACTTCCGTTCTTTTTCAGGAAAGCTTTGGTACAAATGAAGAGAACATATGAAGCTGATATAGTCATAAAGAAAGCTCGAACTTTATTCCGTAAGATGTAACGATTGATGAATTGATCTACACATGTGTTCTTTTAGCTGAACATCTAGAAGTGGTACATTTCCAATGTGACATGGCAAACGCGTGGTTTACAGCAGGTATGAATCTGTTCTCTGAAGGATTTCATGATCGATCAGTAGAATGCGAGATCGGATCCGTTAGATTTTGTTTAGTGGTTAGCTTTGTAGAACAGAGGACACTATGGTTTGTTATCGTATCATGACGATAGCATTATTGACCTTCATTAGTTTAGGGGATTTGCTTTTGACAACATTAGATTTACAATGGAATAAGTAGGACGCTCAGAACCGTATGGGATAGTATGCTTAATTTTCTTTTATGGCAATCGTTGTGAAATTTTAAATTGTTCCTTGATTCATAGCGCTATTGGTTTTGATTTAATAGATCACCATTGCTTTCGAACTATCCATAGACGAATAGCTCCATTACGAAAGAAAAACAGAGAGATTTTATCCATGATTAAATTTTTAATATGTTCATCAAAGACGATGATACCCAGAAAATGATAAAGAAAGGAGAGCAGAGAGTAGAAAATCGTGAATTTCGATACACGAGATGAATTTTTGGACAGCGAGTCGGATTCATTTCAAAGAACGAAATGGAATAGAATATGCGTGAAGACATCACTAAGATGTGAGTGAGATGAGCCATGTAGCTCTCAAACGCAGAATAAACACGTTTTTGCCGTCTAACGTTTCATTATGAGAGGAAACGCGTCGGGAAACACCATTTTAGATGGGCATCAGCGCGTCTATGTAAGAAACAGTTTCTAACTGGATCTAGATGTACCAGAGGTTTCGTTTCTGTCACTCTTAGTGCATTTATAGAAGAAGAACTTTTTATCATTAGTAGACTTTGAGCCTATGAAAACAATACGCTTAGAAAAATGACTTTTCGTATCGAACCAGATAGACGATGAATATAATAAGTGAAATGCCTGAAATAAAAGTACTCCGATGGAATAAAGGTTTGCGATACTATAGAAATGGACGTTGATATGAAGGAAAGCCTTCTAGGTTAAAAAATTCTTTAATGTGTTTGATTGGTTTTTCGCCGAAAGGGTGATACTGATATTTTATATCATCAATATATCGGTTAGAAATTCGTGTAGCTCAGAGTTGGAACTGGTCTAGCCAAGTTAAGACCGGATGAAAACGCATACCTGCGAGGGCAATGCCGGATTTTTATCAACTCATTATATTGAAATTTCTTCTCCTATTTACAATTTTGACGATACAAATCTTATCAAATTTCCTTGAAAGTTAAAGCTTGAAATAGATTTTTCGTACATTTCACGTCTTGGCAGTTTGGACTCTTGTACTTAAGCATATACCACACACAAAATCAATTCTCCCTACTATTTCAGTAGATAAAACATGGTATCTGTGTATGAGTTAGCCGGATTTTAGCCAGTTTGTCGTCAAAAATAACCGGCCGGATTTCGGCCGGACTGGAGCGAATGAAAAAAACTTGCTTCGTTCCAACTCTGGTGTAGCTACATTGTCAAAAGTCGTTTGAAAACTGATACATGTGATACACAGAGAGTCATATAGGAGAAACAAATCACAGTAGTGATTTCACATTCCTGTCTGTAAATTAAACTATCTAAGAGTCTTGCAATATTTTCCATTAGATCCTACCACTTCGACTATCTGAACGAAATTGTCCTCATGGATTGGGTTTACAATAGAAAATAAAACAAAAAATGACTAGAGCGTTGGAAATTACTTGTATGTATGTATTGAAATGCTTGAGTAGCTTCTGTTATCTACAAATTTCTGTGAACTACATAAATTTGTTATAGGTCATGCTGTTCTGAAAAGTTTCGCATCGCTTGGTATTGGTATTTTGGTTGGCCTCATGGTTAACAAATTCAGCACGTATTCTCCAGTAACACAAGGACTGATCGCTAGTACTGTAACTGCTTTCATCTTTTTTGTCAATCTACGTCGCGTGTTGAGATTTTTTTCTTCTTTTATATACACATCACGTGTACTATTATTTCATTTGCGTAATCGTCTTAACAATTGGTTTGCACGTTTGCCGAATAGTTCAATAACTACAAATATACAAACTGATACAACATCTACCACCACAACACGATTTTAAGAACTAATGTGACATTTAAGTCCTGATGTTTTCGGCAATAAATATCACACTTGTTCATTCATCAGTCTTTTTTTCCAACTTTTCTTCTCTGAGTCACACGCTCACACACAGAATGACGATTCATAAAGAAATATGTGCATTTAGCATTATTTGTTTATTTTATTTACGAAGGACATCTTTCTAATCATAGAATGAATTATCTTTCCATATTTTGTATCCGAATATCTGACGGGAAATATGAGTAGTTCATGCCGAAAAGAAAGAAAACAATCAGTTTGATGCAATCGAACATTTACAGAACACTGCCAAAAAGACTACAATTAAAAGATAAATCCATTTCACTTTCTATCATTGTTTTATTCATGAAATAGCGGCAAGAATGGAATGGTTTTGTGAAAGAAAAAGTAAGCACAATTTATGAGTGTTTAAAGAACTAGCAATAGATCAAAACAATCTTAATGACGTTTGCAAAAACTTTGTCAGCTAAAAAGATCTATATCAGAAAATGTTTCAATTAAAAACGAAATCTTCTGTTTCGAAAATAAATATTTGTGCAATCTTAGTTCTCTTCAACTTTATTAAAAAAGGCGTCATTTCAACACTTACGAAATAATCATGAGCGAACGAATGAGATGGAAAGGTTTGTCTTTTATCTGCTATTGCATCATTTGAACTCATATTGGAGTTGCTGTATAACTGAGAAAATGTAACATCTATTGCTATTGAAACTCCGAACTAAAATTAAGAATTAGATAGAAAAAAATAATTGCAATGTAACATGTGAATTGATGAGTGATATTTATCTCATCGAAAAAAAAACAGCCAATAGCTCGTCCGATTATAAAGAAGAGATATTACTCTCACTGATCAGATAACAATATAGAGAAAAGCAAATTAGACTACAGTTCTTCTTGTACAGAAATCTGAAAAACACAGGTCTTACTTTTTCATATACGTACAGATCATTTATCATAATTATAAAGGATACAAAATCAAAAATAAAGTGCACTTATGTACATAACTAAATCATAGAATATCTGGACCGAGTGTCAAAGTATGATACAAGTATTATCTCTTCATTTCTGTTAGCTAACTTTTTATTTTGACTATCTTCTACAAAATATCCAATCGTTTGTCATTCTACTGCTCTTTGCAAAAGATCAATGTTTTTATTCATTTTTGCTGTCACTGTTATCATTCGTTTGCTTACATTTCCTAGGCGTTTCACTAAGTAATACCGGCTAGAAGAGAACATTGCTTCCTTTTCATATCATAGTTTAGATTCGAAAATGACTCTTTAATTATTCAATAAAAATCCTCGTTGACGTCTAAAATGAACAATTAAAAAGTATTCATTTCAAATTTGAATCCGTAAAAATTTCACGAGCCATTATCTTAATTCTTGAAATTCAAAATGGTTTTTTGAGAATCCAAATGTTCTTCACAATTTCAATTTGTAATTTGTGAATATGCGCAAATTTTTTCACATCACATCTGACAGCAGCCCATGTCCAATCATCACCAAAAAGAATTCCACCTGCTTCTAAGAGATTCCAATACAAAGTTAATTCAATCAATGTTTCACCTTGTTCATGTGATGAATCAAGATAAATGATTTGAGGATGAAATCGAAATGTTCGAAGAAATCGTGCACCAGTTAACGATGTCATCGATGCAGGTAAAACAGTATCCGTTAAATTTGCATTGAGAATATTTTCTAAAAATTGATAGTAGACTGTTGGTCGACCATCTTCACTCACTGATAAATGATTCCAAACAACTTTGTTTATCCACATACTTAGATCTATAAAGAGATAATTAGTTGAAGAAGAAGAAAAAGAGAATTGGTTAACCTCCAAGCCAAGTGTCAATACAAAGAAGAAATGAATCTGGATAAGATTGTTTCAAAATACTTCCCATTCGAATAGCGGAGTTTCCAGTAAATGATCCAACTTCAACAACAAACTGAACTTTCAAAGATTGATGAAGTTTTCGAATAACTGCAAAGAATAAATCTCTTTGAAGAAAAGTATGTGGATATGATAAATCCAAATGTTTTTGAAAATATTTTCTTGTGTAATTATAAATTGATTTTGTCGATGGATCTCCATAGAGAATCGAGTGTACTTGATTGAATGTCACTACTTTAGTAACTTGTGATGGATGTATCGGTTTATGAGATGGATTAACTGCATTCAAATCGATAATTTCTTCTGGCATAATCAATGATTTTAATGAATAACAATCTTCAATTTCAGGATCATTGAACATTGAATGAAAAAATAGAATCGAACTATTTAGATCGACAGTAACGTTTTCCATTAGAATTGAATCACTCTTGTGGTTAGTTGTTGGTCGAACTTCGTAAGTAAACACATATAACAATAGACTGCCAATAAACAGAGGGATTAAACATTTTAAAAATCTTGTTATTTGCCGTCTAGAATGTAGTAGCATATTTGCACTCGTGCCTGTTAAATACTACATAGAACGAACAATTCGGAACATTTTGGATTCAATTGAAACGGTAAGCATTTTACATCTTCTAAATCATAACTTTCCGTTCTGTACAGAACGATCAACAGAAACAAAACCAACCATCAGAACGCGATTAATAAAACAAATAAAAAAGCTGACATGACGAAATTTCTTTCGTTTACTACAATACCTCTATGGTATTTACTTTTCAACATGTCGTATAGCTGTTTCATTCATGAAATGCAATACATGCCCCGCAGTGTGGAAACTTTTAATGATAACTTGAAGATGAAGGTGCGAATTGGTATGAGAAATGATCATATTGCTTTCGATGCATGTCGCTTCTGTTCTGACAAAGATAGTCACGTAGGAAATATGCCAGAGAAGAATCGTAGTGCAAATATTCTGATCATCACACAAAACACTATCGCCCTTTCTCAAGGAAATCCTCAGGTATATCCGATCTGATCTGGACAAAAATCTCGAATAGATATATCAATTGTTATCTACACTGTTGTGAACAGTTTGAGAGAATTTACTGTTGGTCTTTAACTTATTAAAACGCAGATTTGTTGTAAACGATTTCATTCACCTTCAGCAAGTTCTCAAAGAGCGTATTTTTTTATTTCTCAATACTGAAAATTAATCATATTTATAACAAAATAAAAAATATCAAATAACAAACATAACCTCACCATGGGTCTTTTTCTTTAAATTTACTTTAAAACTATTCATCGTTATCCGCGGGTGTACTTTTCTTCTTAAATGTCGTATTGATCAAATACAGACGAATGCAGATATGGAGCTTCTTATCTTGTATTGATATTCTGATTAGATGACATTGTTTTTCTCTAACGGTATTACTTTCAAATTCGAAAAATACAATGAAATATGAATAATACTTAGTCATTATGTATATGTTAAATATTCTCATCGGGAACATTTTATATTGTTGGCTGAGCCAAGGTAAAGTAAATCTCAAAAACGGCGTAGAAGAGCATAAATATTGTATCGTCGGGATTAACGATCTCATATTCCTTCATTTCCGTATATTTATTGATACTGTTAAATGCAGCAGTACAAAGTTCAATCACAAAAGGAATTATATTCTGATAGTGAAATTGATTTTTCAAATCCCATTTCACCTTACTCTGTCTCACCGATATTAAATCAATCACAAAACAAAAGATCAATTATCGAATTGATCGCTAAACTAGTTGTTGGTCTTATCATCGCTGCTTTTCTTGCTGGTATATTCATTGTTTTAGTTGTTCGTCTTCCTACCGATAGCAATAACAACAATGTCGCATCGCCGCAGGTATACAACCTTTCATCTGTAAGTATTTCAATTAATTCAAGTTTATATTGTCAGGAACAAGAAACCAGCGTGAATTTGCTGATTAAATCCAATGAGCACATAGCTGAACTTCAACGTGAACATGAAGTTCAACTTGAGAAAACACGACAATTTCAAATTGAAGTAGCGAATAAAAGAAATCGAGAAGCAGAACAACAATATCAATGGTTAATGGAACAACGACGTGTTTCAATTCTCGATAAAAATCGTCGTGAAGATCAAATAAATCAAAATGAAAAAGATTTTTATGAATTTCTTGACCAAACTAATTTACTTAATGCTCCTCACTCAATTTTACAAGAAAAAGTATTAAGTTTAATTCGTCGTTTCGATCCATTTCACAAAACTTTACTGATCAAGCAACTCTATCAGGAAAACCTTCTTAATAAAAGTTGCATCTCTATCAACGGATCAAAATGTTTGCTTTCACTGATAGGTGCCGATTTAAGTGGAATTGAACTTGGAAAGAAAGATCAAAGTAGATTTCAAATAGTTATTAAAGATTTTTTTATTTATCTTCATTTCAGGTGATTGTATTCCGACAAACTACAACTCTTTAATTATATCTGGAGCCAAATTAATGAATGCTTCGTTTGATTGTTTGTTGTTAAATAATGCTATTTTGGGTGTTAATCTATCCAATGCTTCCTTTTCTCATTCGCTTTTACACAACACTAGATTAAGCTTTGCTGATTTGACCAAATGTAATTTTCGAAACGCTCGAATGAATGGAGGAGACTTATCCATGTCCACACTACCACACGCACAATTTCAAAGAGCATCATTAATTGAAACAATCCTTTTAGGAGTTAAAAGCGACTGGAGCGACTTTAGTGAAGCAATTCTTGCAAAATCAGCATTTTCAGACGCTCAATTAGCTAATGCTAAGTTTGATAATGCTAATATAAGTGAAGTTCAATTCGATGGTGCACACTTAGAGAATGTAAGTTTCTACAAAGCTTACGGTATAAAAGAAACATTTTGGAGTGCTCATTTGACAAATACTAATTTTCAAGAAGCGATTCTTCTTCAATCTCAATTCTTAGCTGCTAAAGGAAATCAAACAGATTTTTCCAATGCAATTCTTGATAAATCTAATCTTCAAAATATTGATCTAAATGAAGCCTTATTTTATAATACAAGTATGAACATGGTTTCATTACCGTATGCAAAAATTATTAATAGCAATTTACACTATGCTTCGTTTATTCAAGCTAATTGTGATGGAGCCCATTTTGATGGATCTGATTTGTCTCATGCAAAAATTATCCACAGCTATTTACGTTTTGCTTCATTTATTCAAGCTGATTTTTTTCAAGCCAATCTAACTGGATCTTATTTAACTCAAGTCAATTTTACTGGATCAAAGAATTTAAATAAAGAGCAACTTGATGCTGCCTTTTCCATTTCTGAAGCTTTTTTACCAGATGGAACTATAGGAAGAAATAAAAATCTTGTTAAATACGGTCATCCAATGTGTAATCAATCAATGAATAATTCAATGTGGATAATATCTCCTCAAACACAAATGATAATTATGAATCAGATTAACAGAACTAATTGTGCTTTTCAATCAAGAGCGTCGGATGTTACCAGTATGTCTCAATTGGTTGATATTAATTATTATGCCACACGAATGATGGAGTTGAGTGGAAATGGTATGATTAGCATTCTGTTAGAACTTGATCTTATTTCGGGCAACATTACTGCTAATCTTCATTTATTCAATTCAACGAATCACCGCGTTGATGAAAGTCTGTAGTATAAGAATGCTAAATAATTTTTCTATTGTCAAACGTTTTCTTTCTATGTAGGTCTTCGACTTTTCGCTGGTGACATGAATAAACATCTTTCTGCTAAACACTACGTCTTCAATTTAGCAGTCGATCATGTTGAACTTGACATTTTCTTTCATCAGATGAATACAACTATCGACAATATTCATTTATCTATTGAAATTTGATTTTGTTCTTTTTTTCTTGGAAAAACGATAAAAAATAAATGAAATAAAGAATTTGATGCTATTGATTCTTGCTGAGCTATACAAGACATTCTTTTTGAAAGTGAGGATGTGAGTGGATCAATGAACCATGATCGCGATTTTGACCTTCCTTCAAAGTTGAACTTTCATTTTTTCAGAAAAGAATATAACTTATTTTGCTAATGAATTATTTAACCCTTTCAGTCCCGGCTTTTTTTTCGAAAATCGAAATTTTTTTAATGATATTTTTAAATATGGTCTTTATTCCTTACAAAGAAGTTATATTTTTGTCTCAAGCAGTCACTAGTAGTTCATCTTCTGACGATATGTCAAGTTCAGAGTTATTGCTAATTTCACCAGCTTCTTGCTCAGTCAACCGTCTTTTTCTTGCAGTTGCCATTGTGAAAATGTGTAAGAGGAGTCGTTAAAGTATACGATTCTTATCCAAAGAAGAAATATATTCGGTTTGTTCTTACTCTTGCGTTTTACTATTCGCACAATAGGTATATATAGGCTACGAATCAGAAGCGGAGAGAACTTACTAGATTTTCGAGATCCGACAGGACCAACTAGAACTTTACAGAAGGATAGAAACTAGTCAGAAAGCACTAGAGAGAACAGTAAAAGGTCAGTACGAACAAAAAAAGTGACTGAATTGGAATGTACTAGAATGAGAGATAGTGTACATGTGCATTATCATATCGAACGAAAGAAAGTGCATAGAATATAAATGTGTATTATTAACAAGCAGAAAGAAAAGGAAGAAGGATTATACTAGCACGGTATCATCAAATAAAACGAATAAGAGGTGTTCTAAACAACTAAAAAATGTACTAGAAGCATCTTTGTTAAATAACTGCATTTGGACGCATATATGCGTCGCCGGGACTCAAAGGGTTAATGAATGAAATTTTTCAATAATTCCGGAGATATATCTGTTATTTGACAAAACTGTGAAGTACTTTCTAGGTATATCTTACTTTATATTCATTCTTATGTACGAAGAAAAGAGCTGAAACGAAAAATGGGATGTCATGATATAACAAGAAATTGTCATGAGAATTCAGTGGTCGCGCAATTAAAACGACACACAGAAGTCAGCGTTGTAGAGCGACATCTAATGTTATAACTGGTGTGTTGACCTCTCTGTTTCCTTGAATCGCAAGCACAATTATTTATTTTTCGGCATATCATGTCACTCCCAGGTCGATCATTCGGGCGACTGGGTCCATTGAAATCTGAGTCGGTTCCAGTACTGCTCTTCTCGATTCCGGTCGGAATTGCACAAGAAGCGGTCGGAAGATAACTGGAACCTACGTTTGAACTTCCGGCTGGAACCGACCATGCCATAATAACCTGGGTTATTGCATCAATTAAAAACCAAATCAATATCAATACGGATAACAAAATTCAACAGAGATTATCGTCTATCGCACCACATGCAAAACTTGTCATTTCAGAATTAAATCAATATTTAAAAGAGGTACTTCCTAACGAAGAAAATCATCAGCGGGAAAAGTGTAGGAAATTATTGGACGATTTAATCGAATCAATTATAAATGATTTCTTATCCATGGCGAATCCTATTCACGATGCACAAATCGATATTCTTTTAAATGGAACAAAACAGCATATGGAAAAGTTGACAAAGAAATATTTAACATCTCCATTGACTATTGATCCCTTCGATTTGTTTTTCCGAGAATTAATCGAATATCTCGAAGGCTTCTATCAAATCATGTCGAACGTCTGCAAAAATGTGTCGGTAAGTCTTCCTTTTATTTATATGCCATACTTATTTGAATACTGTTTTAGGGAAAGACCAATAGAGTACTACAAGAAAATCGCACCTTGTTAGACCAAGTGAACCAAGTGGTAAAATCGAATGGAGAATTACGCACAAATAATGACCAATTGAGTGAAGAAATCAAAGGCATTCAAGCGAGAATGCAAGCACGTGAAAGATAAGAAATAAGAAGGATCGACAAGGAAAAACATCAAGAGTGGCAAATTCTGATAAGAGATTTATTTTCAATACCTCAAGATCTATTATTTGAAGAATTACAGCGAAATAATCTGTCTGAAGATCAAATCAATATCTTTTCGAAATTAACAGTCGATATTCCTCAATTATCATAAAATCATCCAGCATTATATATGATTTTACAAAAAGTATCACGAGAATTCGAAATCGATCCAGTCCAAATGTTAAATTATCTCAAGGAGAAGAAATTCACAAATCGAATCTCTCATCTCAACACCGATCTCAGAAAATATGCTGTTGAACATACAGTTTACGACTTAAAAGAATTTTTGGAACAATTAAACACGCATCCTCTCGATGAAGATGAACAAGTGCTGTTACAACCGCTTTTCAGGAAAATTTGTCAAATAATGAAGTAAAAACGATTTATGAAACTAAAGATAAATCACACACAGATATGACATTTTTTTAATATATGAACATAAAATAAAAAATGAAAAGAAATTTACTAAACAAAACAAGAAGATTTCAATCCAATAACTTGGATATTTATTTGAAAAGAAGAATGTTTAAGACAAAGAAAAGACGCTATGACTATATTAGAGACATAATCAAATCATGAATTCCCAGTAGCTGTTCTCATATATGTCATATTATGAAGTAACCATCGATCCAAACAGAACAGCAAATGTGACTTTTATTTTCTCAATGAATATTCCTTGTTCTCTTGATTTTATTGGATTATCTCTTGTTCATTTATTAAATGATCGATATTGTTGATTTTGGACGAAGTTTACCTTCATACGCACACGTAAATTTCGAAACAATATAAACTATGTTTTGCTCAATTTATCCTACTACTCCCATGAGTAATTGTCTGCGTTTAATTTTATCTGATCGATGAATGGTAATATTCTCGACTGAGTCATACAACAAATGGATTTCACATCAAGATCAATTGAAACTTTGTATTATTAAATATTGACTACGCAATTTTCATCGATTAAGATTGTTTTGATCTATTGCTAGTTCTTAAACACTCATAAGTTGTGCTTACTTTTTGATTCACAAAACCATTCCATTCTGCCGCTATTTCATGAATAAAACAATGATAGAAAGTGAAATGGATTTATCTTTTAATTGTAGTCTTTTTGGCAGTGTGCTGTAAATGTTCGATTGCATCAAACTGATTGTTTTCTTTCTTTTCAGCATGAACTACTCATATTTCCCGTCAGATATTCGGATACAAAATATGGAAAGATAATTCATTCTATGATTAGAAAGATGTCCTTCGTAAATAAAATAAACAAACAATGCTAAATGCACATATTTCTTTGTGAATCGTCATTCTGTGTGTGAGCATGTGACTCAGAGAAGAAAAGTTGGAAAAAAGACTGATGAATGAACAAGTGTGATATTTATTGCCGAAAACATCAAGGCTTAAATGTCACATTAGTTCTTAAAATCGTGTTGTGGCGGTGGATGTTGTATCAGTTTGTATATTTGTAGTTGTTGAACTATTCAGTAAACGTGCAAATCAATTGTTAAGACGATTACGCAAATGAAATAACAGTACACGTGACGTTTATATAAAAGAAGAAAAAAAATCTCAACACGCGACGTAGATTGACAAAAAAGATGAAAGTAGTTGGTATGTATGCTAAATGTCGAAAGGAGAAATGTCGAAAGAAAAAAAGGTCGAAACAAGAAAGTAGAAAGAGAAAAGTCGAAAGGAAAAATGTCGAAAGGAAAAATATCGAAAATGAAAAATACCGAAGGGAAAAATGTCGAATGAATAGGAAAGTCGTGTCTAGTGTTGATTATCAAATATTTATTCGATTGCAATGAGAAAAAAAGAAAAGTACGCTTTTTCAAATGATGAACAACTAGAAAAAAATTTCGAACAGAGTTAATGTCCATCGTCGCGATAAAAATTATTTTTTCTTCCCAATGAGTAACGATAAATTGTCCAACAATTGTTCCACATCAATGTTTTTGTCGTTATATCGAGCCATAAGCGTATCAATACGCCCTTGAATACTATTTGTAGAACGTGGAACTGGTCGACGTCGTGCACCTGTGATGGTTTGCACATACAAGTGTTGAAACCGAGCTTCTTCGCTAATGATGCATCGGATGAATGACCACATATTTCCATGTGCGCTTTCGATTCTTCGATTCAGTCGACTGTGAAATCCTAAATGTAAATATTTCAATCTATTGATGTAGGCATAAGATTATAGATACCTTCACAAATGTTGTTAGTGCGATGATCACATCCATGGATGTTCCACATTTCAACAGGCACAGTGTTTAACCAATAATCATCAAAATATAAAAATAAATCACGGAGTTTTTTTTTCACCTCTTGATCAGCTGTTGTACGTAAAGAATAAAAAGCATTTTCAACTTCATTAATTGGTAGAAATGGAAGAGCCATGAGCTTTTTACAACAACTTCGTAATGCTTCGTCTTGAGAGTAAGCTGTAGCTAAACCAGTAGATTGAATACGTCGGTACAAGCACTGCGAGTAGTGATAGAAACAGCCTTTATGAACACATAAAGGAAACTAAAAGGAAAGTGAATATGCCCGATAAACTGATTGAGATTTTTTACTTCTGCAGATACTGCTGGCATGAGACCTGTTTCAAAATCAGACATGATTTGATCGGGTTGCCATATTTGACCCATAGATGCCGCAATAGATTTTACTTCTTGAAATAGTTCTTGATACGTTGCTTTTTTTCGATCGGGCAGCACTGCGAATATACATGGAAAAGCTAACAGATAAAAAACACACTTGATTTTCTATAAAAAGTTAAGATTTTACCGCAATCAAACTTCAAGCCGTGGATAGTAAAGATTTGATCGAAAAATGGCGGTGTTGCATAAAACGTTCCATCAAGAAAACCCATTGAACTCTCAAATAACAGTTGTAGCTGCTTTGGACTGCTGAATATTAACATCCTTTTTTTTCGAGAGACCATTTTATCACAAATTAAAAATGTTTCACCCGATGCTGTTGTTTGATATCCAGGCGGTA